GTAAATTGAATTAAATTTATAAGTCGTTCTGTTTGAAACTTCAAAGATCTTTTTATAATGAGCAGTGTGGTGTATTAATAAATATGTTGACGTCTAATTTGGATTTATTTTTGATATACGATAATTACTAAATAAGTGCTACCTGTATTTGTATTTAACTCAATTTTGATAACAGCTTCCGATGAAGAATTGATATCAGCATATCCGATACTAGCACGACAACAATTTTCTGTCGGAATATCTTTGAACAAGTAACAAGTATGCGGAGTTTTTTCGCCATAAATTTCTCCACCATCCAAATGTGCTAATGAAACTTTGTATGTTCTCGAATTGGTGACACTCCAACAAACCACATAACTAGTTACAGAAATCTGCTGTTGCGCAATAATTTTTGGTGGTTGTGGAACACTTCCTTCGTAAGTTAATTTATAATTAGATATAGGCGAAACAACGATGTTACCACGCCAATATGCACAAAACCTGAGCTGAAAGGTACAGATGCACTTAACATTAATCTAAATTAAATTTTCAAGAAAGCAGTACAATACCTCCACTTCTCCAAAGTATAGGTTTTGAATGTTAACCTTTGTGAGCATTGAATCGTCTCTGAAAACCTAAATATAAATTCCTATCACATGACAGCTCTAAGGTAGCAAATAAGTTACAGTAAAGCAGACAGGAATAAGACGTATTCTCAACGGAACCTTATCATTGATCACGGTTGTTGTAAACGGTGAATGGGAAAAAGCTGATCGACCTTGTACACCCCATTGCATGTCAACAGATGCTATTTCGCTAACCATCATTTGATAAGCACCATCCAATTTCCACAAAGTAGAGATTTCTTCTTTTGTCTCATCTTCGACGCTCATCGTTACATGATTTAACAAGTCTTGAAAATTGAAATATTTTACACCAGTGTGTCATTTTTTTTGGAGAGATGCCACAAAAAAAAAAACAGAAGAAACTCCGCTATCATGGAGATAGATTATCAGGTCAGGGTAGCTTTAAAAAAGTATTTTTTGCTGCATTTAACAAAAGTTGGATGAAGAAGTTTTGAAAATGAAACTTAAGTGTTTTTTCTAAGTACAGTGAAAAAAATAACTAATTTTTTTAAATTTTTCCGAAAGTTTTCCAGACTGTGATTAATATCAAGCTTCAAAACCGACCTCACCGACCTTGTATAAGATGCAAAAATATATCAGTAATTGCCCGACATCCTTGCAAACAACTATCAGTGGCATTAGTGGCTGCGCATCGATCTTGGCATGTTGAATTTGTAGAATCCAAATCTTGACATCCGACATTGCACTACAAGACAGAAAAAATTGACATGAGACAACTAAAACATTTAACAAAAGAATCATAATCGTATGTGGTGCTATAAACCGTATCGAGCACAGCGCAAGAAATGTAACGACTGATAAATGTGTTCATATTTGAACAACATTTTAACCTGCTGTACGGACAGATTATTTCTAGCAAAAACAAAACTTCTAATATTTATAAGAAAAGAAATGATTAAGAAACACAAACAACTTGAAAATGTAATAAATTAGAAAACTATCAGAAGAATCTTTTGAATATATTTTTGCAGAAGAAAATTAACTTCACTTACAGCACTGATTCGTTCACTAAGGCTTGCGGCTTCCAATGTCTCATTCCATTCTACAGATCCTTTAGCTAATGGTAACACCTGAAATAGTAAAAGTAATATTGCAATGATTCTAAAAAATACTTTATTCTTTGAAGAAGTACATTATTGAGATTGGAAAAAATGATCTTACCAAAAAAAATAAGTGTCTTTTTTTGACAATTTTTTGCTGAAAGAGAATAGAAGGTAACAGCTGGCATTTATTGCATAATTGTTAAAATATCATTGAAAAAATTAAGCTCTAAATTCTATTCAAAAAATCGAGGAAAAAAGTGATAGAAAATTTTCAGTTTGGTAATTTTGAAAGCTCATGTTGTTCTTCTGCTTTTGCTTCTAATTCCTCTATTTAATCAAAATTTTTCAGCAGCAAACTATATAATAGCTGAGAAACAATTAGCTATTAGTATCGGTAAGAAAGTTCAAGTTTTGTAGACAATGCATAACTTTGTGCGGACGGTTATCTCGATAGTAGTTCATCATACCAAAAAAAGAAATGCCTAACAAATATAAAAAATAGTAATGACCAAAGTGAAGAATTCATTTATCAGTTTGCACTACCAAACTTTTCTCAACTAACAACCTGATCACTTTATTCTGTTTAGCCATAAATTAAGAAGGGTTTGTTCTCTTCAATTATTTTATAGAGTTCCAAAGAAATTTGTCGCAACTCTGATATAGCGACTATTGCATGTTAAAAATTAAGACTGATTTCAAAAAATATATAAATCTTGTAGAACATTATAAGACAGGTCTGACCGTAATATAAGAGATGACGAATTTTTGCCGCGAACGAAAACTGCAACTTCTGAAGTTGCATCGACTTCGTCAACAACGACTTAAATATCCTTTTATATCTAGTGAAGAAAAAAGCCTTATGTTATTGTACTAATAGAAAGTCCCGTTAAAAAAACTAGCTCAAAAAAATCATCTTTATTTTATATAATAAAAGCCTAGTGAAACAACTTTTTTATCTTTAAAAACTTCTGCAATTTAAATGACTACAGCGAGAGCTTCTTCTCTATTAAAATAATATATGACGATTTGTTTGCGGTTATTCGTAACTATCTTTAGGCAAAATGTATATCAAAAAAATATTGCAGGAACCAAAGATTTACAATGATGAAAAATTCAGGAAGCAAACGGATTTTAAATAAAAGCAAATACTTAATTAAGCTCAATTATGTAACAAAATTGACAAGCTTAAAGATTAGAAATATTGGCCTGTCTGGTAAATGAAAATGTACAGTAATAGCTACGTGTTAGTAAAATTATTAATGAACCTACTAATGCTTTCTTCTTTGTGTATTAAATAAAAATTTCATTTCCCGATCTTTTACCTGAAATAATCTTGAACTTTTTAGCTACTGAAATCCTATACAGTCTGTTCCCGTAAACCACCAGAGAAACCCTTCTGCAGTGGAAATGGTTTTAAACTTGCTTTCTTTCTTTTCGCTTTCCCAATTGGTTTTCTGTAGCGTTTATCAGCTCAATATTTAAAAAGATAGTAATTAATTCATTAAACTTATACGGAAAAAAGCATCAAGTTTGTTGCATGAAACTATATATTTACATATAGAATGCAGAGATACAATAAGTATATCTGAGGAACGTTATTTACAAAGTATTTTATAATTATAAACCTTCTGTACCTTTACTGCTAAGCGATTATGTCGCTACTCATATAACCGCTTACTGAAATACCAAGTATTAAAGCTTGTTTAAAGATTGAAAGATATTCAGCATAGTGTAGAATGGTGAATTCAAGTGCAGATTTAGTTGCAACCGTGGAAGAAACAGTCACAGGATTGATAAATCAACAAATTTTACTCAGATTGTTGAAGTCATCAACTTTAACTGAATCAGTATTTGTGTGAATACAT